CGAAGTTGAGTTGATTATGTTCTGTTCAGCTGTAGTTTTGGTTGTTTGCATGCGCGTTTCGTTTTGGTTTTAGTTACTGATCTGGCTTACTAAAGTCACAAACTCTGTCGAGGCTCTTCAGTATGGAGTATTTGAATGGCGCTTTTCCTTATATTAATTATGCGTTTAATTTGACAAGAGGTTGTTCTCATCGTAGTTGTGATGATCAGTAGATTCCGTGTTTTGTTGCTTCAGTAGTGGTTGCTCGTAATCAGTTATAATCATATGATGAGAGTGTGCAATTAGATGTTAATAGTGAGTTCATCATTTCAGTCTATAGCTGCCTATCGCGTGATTTCGGTTGTGAAATATCGGGCCCGAAAGCACAGATCCACATTCTCGTCACGACATTGCCGTCAAACGCAAAGCATCTGGACCCGGATCTTCATTGTTTGTTTTCTCATTTCTTCATTTTTGCTTATATTAAAATTCGTTTAATCTTTATTCTCGACTTGGAAATTTTTAATATTTGTTAAAGTTTTTAAGTTTTCCCTTCTAGTTCATTTATGATTGCTTTTTTAGCAGGCAGATTGGGCCTGGACTGGTCACCGTGATGATTGTTGTATTGAACGCAATGATTGATTTTTTGAAATAGATAGGATATATGCCGTTTGTTTTAGTGAAAGAAACAATAATGATGGCACACATGGCTGCGCTTCGGCATGCTAGATGGTTCGAGGAGAATGCTGCAACGCCGACAATCAGAGTGAGTTCGGTTTATTGATTTTCATTCGTGGTTGATTGGTTTCTCTTTATGTATTCGGCTTGGTTAACTCTTTGATGTGTATTCGATTGTAAAATATTTTTGAAATTTAGCTATTTGAATGAAATTTGAAATTTTAGACTCTGGTTCGCATAATGAAAGATATCCGCAATCGTTTCGAACAGTTGCAACCGCTATCGGTTTGGATCATCGAAAGACTTGTTAGTTTTGAATTGTTGAGGTTATAATTATGGAGTGTGATGATGTTATCATCATCATTATTATTGAAATCGTCATGGTGTTTAGGATTTTCAGTAGTTTTGATGACAGTTCCAGTTTTTTCGAATGACTGTACTGAATATTTTCAGAGTCACTATGCCGTGCTGAATACACCATCTCAGAAGCCGTTGACAGTGAGTCAGGCGTTCTGTCGTTTCTTTCAACTGCTCTCGGCTGGTTTCCTTCTGCCATCCTCCATCGCTGTCGGTGATCCGTGTGAGCGTAACCGACGTATTCATCAGTCATTAACCTATGAAGAAATGGTTCGTTAATGGGATCTAGCGATTTCTGTTTCTTCGCCTTTTTATCCGAATTATCGGAGGTTTGAGATTTTGCTGCGTCCATAAGTGCAACTTATTGAGGAAGGATGATTAAGTGTGGGTGAATTGTATGTTCCGCTTGCAGTCGACGTATATTGGGTGGTCAGATGAGGTTGGGTTATTCTAGAATGCAGATATGCTCAAAGTTGAGTGATAATTGCAGGATCAACTGTGCAGTGCTGCACAAACTTTACTACGAATAATATGTCACGGTGG